ACTGTATTCTTTTTATATTCAGTTTCAGTAAAGCTGTAATTGTAGTTTTTCCAACCTTTTCAAAAGTTACTGTCTATTATGTAGTTATTGTTATTAATTGACGTTCGGTATAGCATACGAATATATCTTGTGAGATACTGTATATAATGTTTATTAACTTGACCTTTCGACTTTGTTAATTTCAACCAATGGTTAATTGAGTAATTTGCCTCGTGAGCTTTCGTGATATTACCGAATAAAAGTTTTTTTAGCCTGCTCGATGTAATAGTTTTTACAGCTTATAGTTTGCTTCAGTTTGAGTAGCGTTGCTGGTGTGCTAGTGACGGTTTTCGCGTTTTTCCGTTCTGAAATTTACGATCGATAGGATTGATTTTCCTTGGATATACGTTTTAAGTCCAAATGTAAGTCTTTGTTTGATGTTATGTTTTTTTTTGTACAAATGTCATTTACTTTTTATTCGATTAATTATATTGTCAATTTAGCGTGGATTATATACGAATATTGAAAGGGTTGTTTTCCGTGTACTATTTCACGTCCGCACATGATTTTTTCATTTTCGATTTGGTAAATACATGTTTATATAAATAACTGCAGTGTTTTCGACTTTTGCGTTATTATATTATACAAACTGAATAAACTTTGAAATTGTTATTCAAAGATGTGTACTGTGTCTATTTCGATATTTGCAACTCGTTAGAGTCCTGCGCAGGATATGAGTCAAGTCAAACGGAATGTGAGTTTTTCTCTTATCTTATTATCATTAGTAAAGATCGAATTTTAGAAAACTGTGCCGTATTGCATTAAATTAATAATATTGCTGTATTTTTTCTGATGGATTTTGGGCAAACATTGTGGCTTACTAGTATTGAAAGATCGAACTATGCTTATGTGTAGATGATTATAATGACTTCCTATTTAAGTATATGGAGATGTTTATTTTTCTTCACTTTACCTTTTCTGTTTTTGCTTGTGCTCTTCTTTGCAAAATTTTAATAATTAAAATAGTGAACTAATGGGATATTTTTGGGTAACGGGCGATAAACATATTCCTTGAATTTTGCAAAGAAAGTTGAGCACTTATGTTTTTTGAAATTGGATTGTACCTACATAAAGTAGTTAATTGAACCATAAGGTAACGATAAATGGAAGAAGTTTATAATTGCCTTTTTATGATTTTCCGAAAATCATTGATAGAACAACGGATTATGTATAAATATTTTTGAAAGCCATATCAATATTTTGTTTCTAAAGTAAGTTCAATTTATCGTTACCCTTATTACCTATATTAGCTTCATCCTTTCTGTTTTGCCTTGCCGCATGGTGTTGTGTATTTTTAGTGTAGACATTTTCGACAAAAATTGAACAAAATGCACTGTAAGTATAGTGTTCTTGTATTGTTTTTAAAAATTAGTGGCATATTTTTTTAATAGTTACATACATGTATCTGATATATTCTGGGAGTCCCAGAATGTAGGAGTAGGATGAAATATGAAGTGCGGGGTCTCAATGATTATCCGAAATATTTTCATGCATCTTAATCAGTTTTTGATAATTTATTAGATTATTTTTCCTTTACTCAATTTTATTTGACAATATTTTTTTCTAATGCGTATGTATTAATAATTGTTTGGGGACGACATGGGGCCATATAGGGGTGTTTTTGATAATTATTGATTTCCTGTACCTTTTTATTTTTTATCAGTAGTCTACGCGATATGGTGGTGTGGTATATCGACATTGCGAATTTTAAGTATTTCATAATTCATCAGTTATAATTAAATTTGTTTTAAAGGGATTGGTAATTTATTATAAAATGATTATATTACAGGGTACTGGTGATTTAAATTCTAATAGTGTCAACTTGAATCAGCCTGAAGGTGGTTCGCAGCAGCAACACCATAATTAAAGTTAGGTGCAATGTGTTAATATGCAATTAAAAAGTTTATTGATAGATCTGGATCAACTTTATGTAACATTCATATCTTGTTATTAAACTTTTACTGATGAAATGTGATGTATATTGTGAGATGCATTTAAATAATTACATTTTTATTATACATGTATACATACATACACTATATAAAGTAGATAGTTATATTCGAAAGTTTAATGCTTTAAAATAAAAAAATATATATTAAAAGGTTTCTGTATAGAATGTCGATTAAAAAAGAATTTATGTAAATGTTTTCAGAGCCTTTGAAGCTGATTATGCATTTGATTTGAACAAGCCTAAGTACTTTTAACAATGTGAAAATTTCTATTGTACAGTTATAATTTCAATGTTTAATTTTATTTTTTGTTAATTTATTAGTGCATTCCCCTCTCTCTAATAAATTCCTTTGATAACTATTTTGTGTGTTTACTTTAACTATTTTTGTGAATGTTTCGTAATTAACTGAAATTTGGTTTTTGTGTTTGGGGTTTTATTTATTATTATCCGTCTGTAACATATAACAACATATCTTAAACGTTTCTATCTTTTCCTCTGTCCGTACGTTTCTCTCCTATGCAGAGCCGTTTTCCAAAAATCAGTTAAGTACATTAATTTTGATTTTTTTTGTTGCTATTTGGTTTTTTGTAGTTGAGAATTTGCTATTAAAATTGGCGTCTATTTCTAGTGTGGTATGAGTACGGCGGGTGGGGGGGGCGAGTTTTGTAAAAGTGCCGATACCATCAGAAAACTGCAGAAATTGATTGTAATTAGTAACACCATATCTCAAACGTTTCTAACTTTTCCTCTGTTCGTATGTTTCTCACCTATACAGAGTCGTTTTCCGAACATAACTTTTAACAATCAGTTATATTAATTTTGATTTTTTTGTAGCTGAGAATTTGCTATTAAAATTGGCGTTTATTAGTAGGGGTGTATCGAACTTTGTGAGTACGGCGGGGTGGGGGGCGTGTTTTGTAAAAGTGCCGATACCATCAGCAAGGTTTTTGCTAACTGCAGAAATTGATTGTAATTAAAGCGAAAAAATTGCAAGCTATAGTAACTCGAATATGCCAACTTCAGCACGAAAATGCCGACTAAGACACTCGGCACCAAAGCTTGATGGGTGTCATACCCTTCCTCACACCTCTGCCTCGATACGCCTCTGTTTGTTTTACATACACATATCCATGGTTTACTTTTAAAGGCGGTTTCTGTCTGTTTTCATTTAATCATTTTCAGGACCATAAATGAACTTGTCAAACACAAGCACATTTATTTTTTATTATTTTTAAAATAAGATGACA